ACCCTTGCCTTGCAGCCTCCGTTCCTCCCTTCCTTCCACTTTGCTCTGCACTGCAGCATGCCCCGGTCATATCCGTTTTCACATGTTCTGTGTGCAGTCTGGCCCTACGGTGTCAGAATTCCTCTGGCTGGAGCACAGCTGGGATGGGGTAGACTCCTCCCTGCAAGCACCAATCAGATCTAGTCGCTCAGGTGTGGTGCAAGCAGGAACTTGCTTGGTACACGGAGATGCTGTTGTCTGCTAAAAGGTTGAGATGTGAGCTGTCTGCGTGGAGTAAACAGGAAGGGTTGTGATGGGGCAGTCCATATCTTGATGGAAATATTCATAAAGCTGGTTTACTAATAATGGTTTGCTAAGGGAGGACCATTAAGGATATTTCAGAAACCTGATGGCTCATGGGTAAGAAGAATGATCTGTAAATGTGTTTGATTTTCCTATGGCCCTGACTTGAGGAGGGGGCTGAGAATCCCCACAAGGACAATTTTCGATCATCTGACTCTGGGACCCATCTCAGTCCTTGTACTTTTCTATGGAAGGGAGAGAAAAAGTTTATTCTGAACAAAGAGGATTCCCACTTTGGACAAAATATATCAGAAGGTGGGAAAACCAAGCGACAGAAGCTATTGCTAGATAGGAGGACGCCCCGGCTTACAGCCCAAGATGATGGTTGGAAACATCTGAGACTCAACAGGAGGAAGGATCAAGTGCAGGCTGGGAGACTTTCCAGCCTGTGAGAAAAGACAATTAAATGACCGTTAGAGTAAGGTTTTGCCTGTAACAAGTTTCTTCCTGTATTAAGCTTAGCTCCCATGTTTTTTTGTTTTTGTTTTTGTTTTTTTGCGTAGTAACCTCTCCGTGTCTAGGCTGGAGAGGGTCAAAGGTCCTGGCTTAGCAGGACAGGGTGCTGAGGTGCCCCAAAAGCCAGGGTGGTGGGATGAATGGTATATTCAGCACATCAAGTGACAGTCACAAAAGGATATCTGTGACTCGGCCCATCACCATGTCTTGCCCCCAACAAGTGCGCAGCCCCAGTGGGACCTCACAATGGCTCTGGCTTTCTGAGAAGCTGTTACCATGTCCCTGGTCTCGCTTCCAGCCTAGAGGGGAGCACAGTCTCAAGCGAAGGGGATTAGAAAAGCTGCAGACTTGGTAGAAGAGACGGGGTAAAGGGAGAGGTCTCAGGTTAAAAGGACCCAGGATAGAAGAGCTGTACAGGGATATCATTCCTGGTTTTCATTGTCCATGTTTCCAGACTTTCACTTGACAAAGGCCCTGATGATCCTCACACGAAGGTGTTTGCTTTTCACGCTGTACACAATTGGGTTCATCAGAGGTGGGGCCAAAAGGTTGATGTAGCCCAGGAGAATCTGAAGCAAGTGAGAAGAGCTGCTCCCAAATCTGTGTGTTACAGCCAGGCCGACATTTGGTAAGTAGAAGACCAGGACAGCGCAGAGATGGGAGACGCAGGTGTTCAGGGCCCTGAGGCTCTCTGTGTGGGATGCGATGCTCAGCACAGTTTTCAGAATCATCACATAGGAGAGGAAGATGAACAGTGAGTCCAGTCCAAACGTGAAGAGTGTGGTGAACATGCCATAGATGTAGTTGACTCCGATATCTGAACAAGCCAACTTCATGACATCCTGGTGCAGGCAGTAAGAGTGGGAGAGGACATTGGCTCGACAATATCGGTACCGTTTCAGGAGAAGCGGGAATGGTAATGCTACAGCCACCCCTCTTAGCACAAAGACCAGCCCCAACTTAGTTATTCTCACTGGTGTTAAGATGGAGGTATATCTCAGTGGGTTACAGATTGCAATGAAACGGTCAAAGGCCATCAAGAGGAGCACGGAGGATTCAATTTTTGCAAGAGAATGGATAAAGAACATCTGGGCAAAGCAGGCATTGAGGCTGATCTCCCTAAAGTTAAACAAGAATATACCCAATATTGTCGGTATGGTGACTATTAATAAGACAAAGTCTGTGACAGCCAACATGGAAAGGAAAATGTACATGGGCTCATGGAGGCTTGGGTCTGTTTTTACAATGAAGAGAATGACTGAATTGCCTACTATTGAAATTACATAGATTAAGCAGAAGGGGATGGAGATCCAGAGATGGATGTCTTCGTGGCCAGGTATTCCGGTGAGAATGAGCACGGCAGATTGGAATTCAGTGTCATTGGCAGCTGACATATTATACTGGGCAGGTCTGAGGAGTTTTTAATTTTCCTACCTGAAAGGAAACAGAACAGAAGAGTGGATGATATATAACAAAAAATCTTTCTCCTCCTAGTGAAAGTCTAGAGTCCCACAGGAGATCGAGTTCAAGGAAGCTATACCAACATAAGAACATAAGAACGGCC